GGGCTCAGCAATGCCTTATGCACCGGATCGCGGGATATTTGGCGCCTGACCGATCAGGTCTTGGATAAAGAGGCAGAAGCGTCGCACAGGTGAAACACAAGTCAAATCCAGCTCTGGTTGGGGGCGTGACAGGTAAACGTGAGAGTCGCAGTTTAGCGTGGACTCCAAATAGGCAGCGGCGTATGGATGATGATTGGAGGGGCTTGAGCCACAGTCCCTTAATAGTTCGATAAGGCTGTACTGGCTTGACACAACAAAATGTATGAGTCGCACAAGTCACTGAATAAAATCGGCAAGGGAAGACGAAACTGCAAGTTCAAAAGATGCAAGTTATTCTTAGAAACCGAATCCAAGTCCACTTTTGACTGTTGCTTTTCCATGGGTCAAAGAGGTCAGGTGACCATTCGGGGCAACCGGTGGCGGTGTCTTGTTATGATGTAATTGTGGCTGTGTGTTTATTCCCCAATTAAATTGCTTTCTTATGCTTCTCACTCAGATTTCAGCTACGATGTGATTTGATGCATAGGAGGAGGAAGAAATATTTGTATCGCTTCATGTCAAGGGTTTGTCAAGTCAGCTACAATTGTTCCAAGGTTCGTCTGTGAAAAAGTTCGTTCCAGATCTTATATTATAGTTCCAACCTCCAATATGACGTCAATTCCCTTGATATCCTCCAAGGTATGTACAAATACCTCGATGTCCATATTGATGTGCAACCAAGAGTATAATCTACCTAGGTATTTACACTGTCATTTTCAATTCGTCATGCCAGGCCAATCTAAAGAACCCAATTAGCATTCGCTCCCACAATTCGCCGGAAAGTAGGAGAAACACTCACCAAAAATAGACCTCTTAGTTCCTTTCTCGGAAACCAAAACCTCATCCCCAACCCTCAGATTAATCCCCTCACCCTTCGGCTCCAAGAAAGCATATCTACCAAAGACAGGGCTATACTTCGCCCCGGAATCCACCCTGCGATCCTTCATCAACTTCTTAAGCACAGCACCAGACTCACCAGTCCCCATCTTCCCAGTCTCGTAATCAACATTAAGGCTCTGACAGCGTACGCAATTCCCCGTCAGCAACAGCCTACTCGACCCACGCTCCAATCCAGCGTTCACAGTCAGCGCACCCCAAAAGTCCTCTTCGAAAGCCTCCCCAGCCCCCGAAACAACAATATTAGGCCGGAATTTCGTGCGGTCCATCTCTTCGCCGTCCGGCAGCCTCGCTGAGACATTATCAACGGATGTCTCGGAGATAACCAGATAAGGCGCGCAGTCCGCAAACGTAATACGGTCCTCATGCCGTGCGTGCACAGTGTGAAAGTAATATAGCACCAACACCAACACTACCGCACTAGCAGCGAAAATGAGTGTGGGTGTGAGACTGCGAGCTGTTTGGGGGGTCATCCCGTCGCGGATGATTGTACCCCCATGCAGGAGTATGTTGATTGCGGATGCTACAATGAGAATTGGGAGGACCCGTTCCCATTTCCTGTCGGGACTTGTTAGGCTTTCGAGTATTGTGCGCAGCGGGGTCTTTTTGTCTTTCTTTGCTGGCGCGAGTGTGCCAAGCACCTCTCTCGAATGCGGGCCAAGGTAGGCTAGGACTACGGGGTATCCGAAGCGAGCGCTGAACCAGTTGTTGTACTCTGCGCCCATGTTGTATCCTGTTGTTGGGCTCTGGTGCATAACGATTTTGAGAGGCTTGAGGGTTTTTGGCTTGGGCTGGAGTGGGATTTCCAGTCGATTGGTTTCGCGGAGTCTGGTAGCTGACTCTGCTGGAGGAGGGTGATATGTGATAACCAATTTCCCACTGTCCTTTTCTGTCTCCGGATACTCGATGTCTGTGTGAAAGAGGGCCATCTCTGGGAAGTGCGGGACATGCATGTTCTTTAGGGTTGTGGTGTCGGAGCCATCCTCGGCTGGGATGACTTTGAGGAGCATGAAGTGGCGGTCATATCGAAAGCCACGTGTAGTTAGGATACCCTCTGTGATTGTTGTTGGTCGGAGGGATTTAACCGGGTAAACATAGAGCTGACGGTGGGTTAGTATTTTGTTTCCCGTCTTCGTCGCAATTCCGTGTTCGTACCTGGCTGACTTTCATGATTGCAGGTGGAAAGCTCTATTGTAGATGAAAAGAGAGCAGTATATCGTACCTCGATGCAATCTACGGTTATGAAAATTCACTTTGGCAGGCCGATCTCGGGGAAAGAAAATGATGACATCGTTCCCCATTTCCGTGAATTAGAGTTTGCGGAGTAAATCTGCCCGTCTATTACCTAACTTTGTATATTCTACTCCGTAGCATGAGTACATATGTCCACATAGGTAAGTTATTTAGGTAAATGTATCTTTGGACTTGTTCATTTCTAGTCTTAAATAAGAGGCTTCAATCATATTCGTTTCGAAATCATGCAAGGAAATATACAGAGGGAATCAGGAAAAAAAAGAAAACGTCTACTGGTCCTCAGCCCATGGCAAGCTGAAGGTACCAACCCAGTCCTCAACTTCTTGGCGGAGCACAACAATCTCCGAGATCTCCTCACCCTCACCCACGTAATCCAAGAACGCCTTGACAGTATTGGGGTTCTTGACACCGCGGGACTGGGCCGACTCACGGGCAGCCTTGTCCAGCTTCTGGGTGATGGTGACCGCACGGTCGACGATATCGGCGACGCGGGTGAAGTCCTCGGGCTGGAAGCCACGGGAAGTCATGGCTGGGGTTCCTGAGACGCAGACCACCGGGCTTGAGGGCGGACTTGTCACCGGGAACGGTGTTCTTGTTGCTGGCGACACCACACAGCTCGAGAACGCGCTCAACACGAGCACCGTCCACACCGCGGTTCTTAAGGTCCACTAGCACGAGGTGGTTGTCGGTGCCACCGGACACAATGTTGTAGCCGAGTCCACCGTTGCTGGTGGAGTCACCTAGGCGGCCGGCTAGAGCAGATGCATTGCGGAGTACTGTCTTCTGGTATGCCTCGAAGTCAGGTGACTGAGCCTGCTTGAGGGCCACGGCCAGCGCGGTGATAGTGTGGTTGTGAGGGCCACCCTGGTGGCCGGGGAAGACGGATGCGTTGATTGGGTTCTCGAGATCGTACATGACGGGGTTGCCCTTCTTGTCTGTGCTACGCACGCCCTTACGGTAGAAGATCATAGCGCCACGCGGGCCACGCAGAGACTTGTGGGTGGTGGTGGTCACGACATCTGAGTAGGGGAAGGGAGATGGGAGCACATCGGCAGCCACAAGACCCGAGATATGGGCCATATCGGCCAGCAAGTAGGCACCCACGGAGTCAGCGATCGCGCGCATGCGCGGGTAGTCAATCAGACGACTGTAGGCCGAGGTACCCGCGATAATCAGCTTAGGCCTGTATAGGGTGGCCGACTTCTCCAACGCGTCGTAGTCAATCAGACCAGTTGACTCGTCGAGGCGGTAAGGGAAGGTCTCGAAGTATTTGGAGATAGCGGAAATCTTCTTGGTAGGAGTCTGATAACCGTGGGACAGGTGGCCACCGTGAGGAAGGTCCAAGCCCATGAGGCGGTCGTGGGTGTTGAGGAGGGCGGAGTAGGCCATGAGATTAGCGGGTGAGCCAGACAGAGCTGGAGTGGGTTAGCCTTCGCATATATCATCGTACCACGTCGAGTGTATCATACGTTGAACGTTCACTCCCCATTCCTCCGGGTTCAGACGGAAGGTCTCTAGGGCACGCTGCTGGCACAACCGCTCGGAGGCATCAATGTGTTCGTTTCCTCCATAGTACCGGGCACCGGGGTATCCCTCGGAATATTTGTCTGAATTACGGTTAGAATGGTCTGTCGGGCAAGTAGAGGCGGTCACATGTAGTACGTACTTTGCATAACACTGCCTAGGGCATCGAGAACAGCTTGCGATGTGAAATTCTCGGAGGGGATCAGGTTAATGAAGTGCTTTTGACGTTGTTTTTCCTGGGGTGATTTTAGTAGCTGTTCGGTCAATTGGTGAGCTCTATCAGCGATGACGCACCTTCTGCAGAATGTTCCAAACGGCGGGGTCGGACTCCTCCAGAGAGGCCGCGAGCAACTATTAAATGGTCAGTCTGCATGCTCCGATTGCCATTGAATCGATTCCGATCACCAACCTTGTGTTGCGTATCACGGGTGGATGTCGCTACTCCCCGCGATTGGGGGGCTAATCTGGGCACGATAGAGGCGCGAGCGGAGACAACGGCTGCCCGGGAGCTCCCAAGGGGGAGCAAGCGAGCAGCAGATCTACCACAGCGAGACAAATACATGATGAAGCTGAAGAAGGTCAATTCTCAAGCAGGGTATTATGTACTTGACCGATAGGAAAGCAACGGCTTTTAAACGATTGATGCTAGTCGGACGAGCACTGGCACCTTTCCGTTGCCCGCGGAAAGCGGGAAAATTGCACTATTCCCGTTCGAGCTCTCCGCCTGGTCCGTGCGCCAGCTGTTGGTTTATCTTCGCTCGGCAAAATTTTTCCCTTCTTTTCTTCTTCACACAACTAAATCCAAGATGAAGAAACGGCGTTCTTATCTGTGTCAGCACTCGTCGGTGACGGCTGGACTTCGGTCTAGCTGGCGCTGGACGGGCGCTGCTGAAAGGTCCCACGCCCCTTAACCATCCTTCTAGGGGCCAGTACCATCCGATTGGAATTGTTGTGTAGGTTCATTGGTCTGCTGTGTCAGATCCTTATCCCCATTTTGAACCCCTTCGTGGCAACAGTTCCACCGTCGCATTGTCGACACTCCAGTACAACGAGGACATACGGTTATCGCATGCTCTAAGTGACTCTCGAGTACAGTTAATTTCACAATATATAATCGCTACTATTAGTCATGAAATGATTTGGTCCCTCGATGTTCTTGTCCCGCATTATCCTCTTATACGTACTCCATCCTCACACTCTACGACGTGATACGTGATGACACCAACTACATTGTCCAGCACGCACCACAGTGTTGATGCAAAATCCAACCTTGGGTTTCCGACCTCCTAGCCTAATAATCCCTCCAGGTCGATGGACTCACGGAGGAGCTGAGCCACTGCGTAGTTCTCCAGAGTGACGGCAAGCCCCAGAGGGACGAAATTGGTACCAGGCGGTTCCTCGGGAGATGGATTCGCTCCATGAAGAAGGAGCATCCTGGCTATCTCTGGGTCGCGGTGGACGGCGGCACAACGCATGAATGGCCAACGTGGCAGGTGTATATCACGACGAATTCCTTTTTCAAGCAGGAACCGAACCATACCGGGATGCCCGGCATTGACTGCTGCGAGTCAGGGCGAGAAACTCTTCGGCGAGCTCGATCGATTCAAGATCACAGCCACTCCCATCCCACAAGATGCTTGGCGATACCGAGGTGTCCTTTTCCCGCAACTTGTCTTAGCATTGTCTCGAATACTCGACGGTTGGTGACCGCCCCATGATCAAGCAATAAGCTGAGGATTGGCTCAGAGCCTACATGTATGACTTCCTCGAGCAGATCGACGCTGGGATCGTTCCAAGACCTAGAGGTTTCCGTCTCAGTGTCCCATTACGCAACCCGATTCGGATCAGTACCATGTATCAGTAACAGGTGCACGATGGCTGATCGATTTTGCAATGTAGCCACATAATATAAGCACTCCCATCTTTTGTGGTATCTTTCCTCTGAGAGCCTCACTGAGTGCGAGCCGCGCAGTTGCTATGTTGGCACTCTCCGCCCAACGCAGGGCGCGGTTGGAGTAAAATTCGGCATCCCATTGATAGAGGCTGGGGTTTAGGAGTTGATATAGCGCTCTGCATGTCTGGACAAAGGAGTTGAGAGACCACAAGTCTAGGGAGAAAACGTCTTCCCATGGATCAGGGCTGAAGTGTGGGTCTTGCAAGGAGAGACTGTAGAGACCCCATTGGTCAGGTATGGCCCGGAAAATGAGGTGGATAACGTCAACTGGCAGATCTAGGAGATGCATTTTCGACTTTACCTATGTTGTAGGTACCTGGGGGTAGAGAAGTCTGACTGTAAGGGATTCTATTCAGATATATATCTGCTGGTCCTAACATACATATGTCAACAAAGCGATTAACTGATGCCGTACCCCGGATGACGCCTTGCAAGCGGGTTGAATGAAAATTTCAACTCTCCATTTGAACCAGATTACTTATACGAAGTACAATATTGCAGATAGAAGGTGGGGATTCTTGCAGAAGCGCGGTTGGAAGTAATTGAGCCTCGTCCTGAAGGTCTGATTTAAGAATTATTTTTAATTTTTATATGTTCATCTGGCATGTATAATATTTTGAAGTTGAAATTGTTAATCATAAGAGATGCAGTTTCTAAAGCTGCTCTTCAACATAGAATAATAAGCCGATCAAAACACCTAGAACTGCAATCGCCAGTGCCCAGAGAAATTGGCCCAACCCTAGCAGCCACCAGTGCCCAAATGGGAAAGGATCCCCCGGGATACGCACCTCGAACCGGTTCCTGAGGGCGTGCGCTTAAAGTGAGGAAGACGCTAGGGAGGAAGTGACTTTGGTCTCCATAATAATTTGGCTGTGTAATTAAGTACCTTTCTCGGTTACTCCAATTTACCTTAATTGTTTATTTTTTTTCTTCTTCTTATTGCCACACTCCTGTCTCTGCCCCTTTTCCCTGGGCGGTGCCTGAGTGGCACCGGGTACCTGAATCTCATTTAATTAATTTTTAGTTACTCCGTAATAACATTGGTTATAAACTCTCCTGCCCCCCTTCTTTTTCTCTCTCCCTTCACCCACGCTTACATTCTCTAAATCCCCGGTTTTCAACCGATTACATTCTTTTAAATCCGTCACTCTTTTATCTTCCATCTGAACATTCTTGGAATCATTCCAATCACCTCTATCCACTCCATCACAATGCGTTTCTCTATTGCCGCTCTCACTCTCGGTGCCGCTGGTGCCATGGCCGGTGTTGTCACCGAGACTCTCACCGAGTACACCACCTACTGCCCCGAGGCCACCTCCGTTGTGCACGGAAGCAAGACCTACAGCATCTCCACCGTATGTTTACCTTGCCAACAAGTCTGCGACATATACTAAATAGCATCTCAGCCCGGCTACATCACCATGAGCCACGGTCCCTACACCGTCACTCGTCCCCTCGTGACCTCCACCGTGACTGAGTGCAACGCCTGGTAAGCATGCCTCTATATCCAACACGACCAATCAAACCCATCTAACACATTCCTTAGCTCTTCCACCCCCGCTGTCTCCACCCCCGTGGCCAGCAGCAGCGTTCCCCTGATCCCCGTCGTCCCCAGCGTCGCCACCTCCACCCCTCTGGTCCCCAGCGCCGGCTCCACTGGCGTGCCCAGCGCTCCCTCCAGCGCTGCCACTCCCTCCCAGCCCGCCTTCAACGCCGGTGCCATCAACGCCGCTACCGGTGCTGGTGCCGGTCTGGCTGCCGTCTTCGGTGCCGTTGCCCTCTTGCTGTAAATCAGTTGAGTGTGTCAATGGTATCATGAAGAGCTAGCACCGTGACTGGTGTTATCGCTTTGATACCCGCACGGTGCTATTGGGTGTTTACGGCTGTGGGTTCTTCTTCTGGTATATGTCTTGTCTACGTCTTAGATAATACATAATGAGCCCTTTTGGGTTTACTTTTCATGTTTGCCTTTCTTGTGGAGCACATATTTTTGTTGGTTTTGCGCATTATTCTCCTGGACATAACGCTTTTTATTTATCTAACTTCGATCAAGAATGATCTCTTACTTTCTACTTATTTTACTTGCATTGAGCCTGAATTCTGCTTGTAACCGTCCCAATGTAGAGCTACCTATAGATAGTGAACTGCTGTGCATTCGACGGCACAACTATCACTACCATCACTACCATCTTCATATCTCGCCATCTTGGTTAGTGCACATCATCCGATACTATATCAAGCTTGATATCAGAATGTGTGTCAGACCTTGTTTGTCATTCTCATTTGTCGTTCTCAGCCATGCGCATCTATAAATTGATGCCAATACTCTATCTGCACAACGATTCATCACCACTCTGCATCGCTGTATCTTCCACCATCCGCTCTGCCAATAGTATCTAAGTTTCATTCACAATCTGACCAGAAGGATGCCGGCTATTCCAAAGGAAAATGTTCAGGCTTCAACCCGCCTCAAAGATCCCACCCATGCTAAACAGGTCTGGTGTCGCGATTCACATCACTTGCACTAATAGCCTTGATACTATCCACATTGGATCCCCTACCCCTGGAATCAAATATGTGACTATAGATGATACCAAATATGCTGACATACCTATGCGCTGTAGCATTTCTTCGATGTCGACTCTTCCGAGTCGATTGCGACCCCTGCGACTAAGAAGCGCAAGAGGGATGGATCTAGGAGCATGAGTTCCTCAATGGAGACCATATCCCCAGGGTTGATCCACTCCAACACCTCCAAGACTTCGCACAAGCGCTCGCCCAAGGAAGCCAAGAGAGACAACAGTGCAACCAAGTCTGCCATGTCGCGTGAGATGCAGCAGTGTACATCTCCCGAGCCCACTGGGCTCGAACTCCCGCCTAAGCCGTCGTCGGAGCAGAAGGCCGTGAATGACAATGTCTCTACCAACACGAACCCATTTGGACTCGCAGGCCTTCCGCCTTCAGAGTTCGTCTTCCCCCGCGACGTGGATTTGGGTCTATTCGACTACCCGTCCGACGAGAGGGAGACCTCGTACGAGCTAGAGCCAGTCTCCGAATGTCTGCCCGAACAGCGTGACGAAGTTCCCACTCCGTACACCCCGGTCTTGCGCGCGGTGTCGCAGTACAACCAGCGCATCTGGAGCCAGTGTGGGGCCAAATGTGAGACTTGGCTGGCGCGTCAGATGTACTATGAGCTGGATGACATCTCTATTCGCATTGAAGACATTATGCGTGGGATTAGGGCGATGCTGGAGATGAGGGGGCCGAGTGATGATTTTGACGGTCTTGGTGAACATCATTTTGAAGCTGAGGAGTCCCATGGTTCATTCAAGGGTGGTGGTCCTGAGGATCCGTGGGAATTGAGCGATGAGGATGATAGTGCACTCTTTGTGAGCGGCACTGATGAACTCTCCAGCTCTGATGAGTTTAGCGGCTTCTCTGGGGATGAATAGATGGGGGTGTCCACTTTTGCCTAACTACGATAGCTTACTACACACATTGCAATACTTTTATCTTTGGTGTTTCTTAGCTTTCTCTCCATTGACTGCATTAACGTCCTAACGGGATAGTGTTGCAAGCCGGGCTGTTAGTTATTTACTCGCATCTCATATACCAATGTCATAACTCATACCAACATAACTCATTTCCACATTCACACTTCAAAGAAGAGGCATTGTCACACGATTTGTGTAATCAACATTCTCTTTCACGCTTTCGATGCGCTCATGGCAAGTGCCAAAAATGCTATCCCAAAGACGTGTCTGCTTGCCATAGTTATGGCTCTTCCTCCATCCATAGCGGTGATGTAGATCATGATCTTCAATCACCAACTCAGCATCAAAAATTTCCAGCAGCCAATTCACAGTAGAGGGTGCACCACCATGAAGTCGAAGCCCACTATGACCAATGAACTCCGAAAAGGCAATATACTGGAAACAAATCCACCACCCATAAAACCCCATAGGCAGCCCAATAATCTTCAACGTAGTATACGCAAGAAGCGGAATACCCGTAATATCCATGAATTCCTGCTCGTGGTCGGCGTACGCAGAAAGCAAAGGATTGGGATGTTTCGTCAGATGGTGTCTACGGTGGAACTTCCACAAAGGGCCCACCGAGTGCATCATACGGTGATACCAGTAGAACCAGAAGTCCACCGTGATACTGTACAAGCCAATCTCCAAGGGAAGCCACTTCCATTCCAGTGATGTCGGTGTCTCCCCGGCCGGTAGGTAAGAAATATTGCCATCACCATACGCAGCGTTGAGGTGGATATCAGCTCACGTATCACCTTGCCCACGCCAACATCAGGGATCTCATCCCGAGGATGCTTGTCGCCATCCAAGAAGCCATAGACTTGGCCTAGACGGCGCATGATGTGCATTTCGTGAATGCCGTTTAGCTTGAATGCACTAGAATACAATGCGAAAGCACCGATGAGAGACATGTTCTTCCCGGTGTAGATTGTGTAGGCGTGGTGTATTGCAAGTGGGATCGCGGCGTGTAGTAGAATCCACAAGTGGACCGTCCACTCTCTTATGGCGGGTATTTTATCTTTCTTGGAGAAGATTGGAACCTCCGCGTCAGAATCAATGAGATGTAAGCCAAGGAGTTCAATCATCCAGTGGTAGGTGTTCCACTGGGATCGGTCATGGCGCCAGGTAGACACCATGGAGTCTGCCGGGTTGCGCGTGGTGGTCGTTTGCTTGGACATTATTGCTTGGTTTTGAATTTCACCGGTATAAGATGTTATATTGACGGTTATAGCCAGGTCTATAAATTCTTATATACATGGGTCCGCTCAAGGTTGTCTGGTATAGCCGCACATGTGAAGTTATGATCGACACACGACAACCCTCAAACAGGAGACGTTGCTAGAACTCTATAATTTTCTGAACAAATCAATCACGACAGATCGAAGCGTTGGGGAACCCCAAACAAGAATGGAATGCGAGAAACTGTGATCTCATAGCGCGGGGAGGGCACCAGGACCTGTGACTGAGTCGTCTGCCTCGGTCCCCCGGATATCTACGGAGAAGGCGGGGAAGTCCCTTGGTGATTCCGGGGAGAAGATCAAATCTTCATCGTTTGGTCAATTGTTCATGTTCGTACTTAGCTTGTGCTGATCTCATTTAACCGATGCCCCATTGTGGGACACTATAACCACGGGTAGTGCTGTAAGGTTCTACAAGTACACACTAATAGCTGATAAACCGGCCGATGATAGTGTAGGAATAAATGTATATAATCTGACATATTTGGTATGCATAGCAGGGACCCATTTATAACTACTTCGTCGATGATGCTTCAGCTAAAGATAGTAATCTCGGATGATGAATACATTGAGAAGAGCCGAGCGAGGACTCTAGTGAAAATGAAAGATATACTCAGCTTGATGGGGATGAAATTGCGTCTACTCAATAAAAGATCGAACGGGCCTGTAGTATCGAATGGCACAAAACTAAGATCTGGGAACAATTTGGAGAAAAAGACTCAAGACCGTCACCACATGGCCCTTCCGACAAGTTTACAGTATAGCTCAATCTTACGTATAGGCCCTATTTCAGAACTCACTTAGCTTATTCCATTATCTAGTATTCTAGTATCTTCAAAGAGAGCTAGATGTTGTTATAGGTGGTTTCAGTAGTTGACCATTTCCCGATATCTCTCATCCCCGAGCATAAATCGTGGCAGGATCATCATCCGATCTACCTACCAGGCTCACATTTAAAGCCAAATCTGAAACCGTGTTGTTACAAATGCTTCCGGAAGTGCTTGGTAGCCTGGGACAGGGTGATCAAGGAAGTCCGCAAGGTTGAATTAAGAGCCTTGAATCTTCAAGCCTGAAGCTCATTCACAAATGGGAGACTGCAACTTTTAAGTAGAAGAGCCACAGTCCATTAGCTTCTAAAGAGCCAAAACAAGCATGAGACACCAAATAGATAGCATTCCCAAGGTTGTATGTAAATAAAGACAGATCGGATATAAAATTGTTGTCACTTCCCCCAACTTCAAGTGTTTGCCAACCGATTCTGGTCTTTACCCTGAACCTCTCTCGCCCAATATTCTGCTTCTTATTCTTTCTTCTTCCATGTCACTCTTCTCTTCAGTCCATGCTAGATCTTCTCTCCTCCATCTTTACTCGTTTCTTAAGCCTCTTCCCCATCAACTATGAAGTCAACCAAGGTCCCCAAGAGACCCACGCTACATTGGAACAAATACAGGCGACAGGTGCTTTGCTGTTTGTATCGCTTCTTTGTTTGCAGCAAAAAGCAAACCGAAGAGATATTCTCCTACATGTTTCGGAGTCATCTAAATGATCGCGGCATCCAAGGCTTTGTTCCATTTACCACACTGAACACCCAGTGGGTTTGGATGAAGACCAGACGGGATCCAGTTTGGTCCCACGTGCATACGAGCACCTCATTTGACACCGATGGCGAGTGGAAAGAGATTATTGCAAGAATCAAATCTGCAGCTAAAATTTTACGGTTCGAACTCCATGAGAAGACGGAGGACGACATCAACATATCGCGCTCGAGCTCTGTGGGGTCCGATGACGAACGGAGTATTGCACTCGTTAGTCGATATTGGACATATCTAACCTGGAACTGCAAGCTGACGACTCATTCTTAGAATGGACCCGCCGCGCCAATGCTTCCGCATTCGTTCTCTACTCCGGAGACTCTCGGTCCGATGGTATTAGTATCCCCGAGGCGGGATCATGGCTTCGGCGAAAGTCCCAGAGCAAACCAAAACATCGAGCGAAACGTCGACCAGACCACCAACCGGACTATTGACCAGCGGAATGATCCCCAGAATGACCCCTACAATGGACTCAATAGGCCCAACGAGCCGGTCGTCACTGGCCATGGCAAGCTCTGTTTCTGGTGCAAACATGAAGGAGCCATCTACGAGCCCGAGGAGATCCAGGAACTGCAAAACGAGGCCTACGATGACAGTGGATATGAGGGTCATAGTCATGACAACGAACATAACAATCTACAAGACGATCCTGTTATGAGAGAGTATGTCCAAGGACCCAAGCAGTTTACGAGGGAGGTACATGGTGAAGTCCCCTATTCGGATGAAGAATCACCTGATTCAGGGAGCGAGGCGTACCTGATGACACCCCATGAAGGCCTCTCAAAAGCGCGCCCATTTTGCGACCCACACTTGTCCTCGCTTTCAAACCTAGAACAAGAGCCTCTGGATTCTGAGGATAATTCAGATTGGTGCGCTGACAGAGAAAGCCCTGTTGATTTGACTGGTTTTGGGGCCCCTTCGATCTCGGAAGACCAGAATGGCTCCCTTGTCGATGATCGAATTTCCGCACGAGAGGCTCTGTCCAGATTCAGATTTCCCCATACCCGCGCGGGTCGCGATGAGACACCTGACGACGGCTTTGGTGAGAGGGCGTCGCGGTATGAATGGCCCCCAAATGATGAAATAATGGTGGAAACTCTACGCCAGTTGTCCGTGGAAGCTCTTCGCCAGGTTGAAAATCAGTCAAACAATCGCACTCATCAAGAGATGGATGTCTTGATGTATGACGGCAATACCTGGAACCAGGTGTAGAAAAAGTGTGGATACGACATAATGTCTGGAGCAAATTGTCTCATATTTGATATCAATACGCAGGTTGAAACATGGAAGAGCTCAAACCGGAGAGACAACCGGGAATTTGAGACTCCTTACTCAGAGGGCCTCACTTAAGGGAACATAAAAAATGAATTGAAGTTGAAAGCTGCCAAAAAGTAGTAGAAAATAAACAACAGTAACCCACAGTAAACCACAGAGCAACTCCATACAATGGAGGAGAGAGACATCTATATGGAGACCTCATAGAGTAACAAACATCAACCGCTCACCATCTTGTTCAACTGGTTATATTATCGATTTCCCCGACGGGATATCCGGGTTAAATTGAGGATGGTTTTCGATGCTCTCATATTTATGCGCAGTCGGCAATGCCCTATCCATCTGTGCTTGAGTCGCGGTAGGTATCTTCGGGCCACGCATAAGGGGGTTGGAAGGATTGTGGTCATATATCCACAAACGGTTCGAGTTATCGGGGGCTGTTGCTGTATAGAACTTCCAACGCATCCAAGGTCCATTCAGGCGCTTTGTTCCACGTCCAGGAAGGACGACAACCGGTATCGAGTCCCAACTGGCTGCCATATATTGTTTCTCTTGCTCATTCCACATGTTGACTTCCAACTCTCTTACCAACATGGTTTTCTGGCTGCCATCGCCCAAAGTCACAACTAACACCCCCAAGAGTCGAGGTACGGGGTACATAAGGCCCTGGGCTTGTAGGTTTGTTCTTAGTCGGTCCACGTCGTTTTCATAAAGAACCATATAATCAGCTCCGGTATCATCCTTGAACGAGAATTCAAAGGACTCAGGTGATGGTTTACCGCCTGTCATAGGGATTCGAAGAGCAATTGACATCTAAGGAGATGTTAGAACCAGTATTTAGCATTGGAGTATTGCATATACCTCTGCTGCCCACTTTCTGGACCCCGTTCCGCATTCGATCACAGCCAGTTGACTGCTAGGTCCAGGACCATCTATCTAAACAATCCAAGTCAGCATGCTCGTCCAACAATACATGATTGACTGGCGAGACTTACGCCCTCGACCCAAAACCCGGTCTCATTTCCCTTATACTCGTCATAGAGGTATTGGAATTCATCCCACTTGAAGGGCCTTGGCGCACAGAGCTGGGCTCCATTGTGCCAGTAGGTGACGAAGCCATGGCACCAGTCCAAGACACCTGATCGGTAAGCTAGAATGACATTTTGGACATTGTTGGCGATCTTGTATTTGTCCTTGATAGCATTGCTCTGAGCCCATTCTAGGATAGATTGGAGATTCTCTAATCGTCGCACAACCGGCCAATTTAGCCCCTTCTCTGCAGCCATCTTTTTGCTATATGGGATTAAAAGAGTTAGTAATTGTCAATATATTTATATTGAGTTATGACTGACTCTCGTTCCTCCTGCTCCATCAGCAGCTCTTCCAGTTTATGTTCATAAACATGGGGCATGATGTTCTCCTTAATCCGCTCACGACATCTGGTGATCTGAGACTGCAGATCACTATACATAGGTTAGTAGTTGTATTTCCCGTATCAACTAATCGGACTTTACTCATTAATTAGATCAGGCTCTCTTGAGTTCCAGCCTTTGGGTGCCTTCGCCCGATCAGTAATGGCAGTCTTTGCCGGACGCCATTTCTGCTTCGGAGGCCTTGGTGGCATAGGTTTAAGCCTCTTCTTGGAGTAATCGGTCTTCAAATCGTGCATGAAAGCTTTCACATCTAGAGGTTTTGTTTTAGGGGCCTCTTTTCTTTTTTGGGCTTGACTCTGCCTCCGAATCATCTGGAGCTGCCCTTTTGTCCTTTGGTCGTATAGGGATTTCGACTTCAAGCTGACCTCTAGCTGCTTCATTACGCTGTTCTTGTCGTTTTTCGCTAAAGAAACCTTGGGGCTTTCGGGCCCGGCGGGGGTTCTTACCATCGCCCGGGTGTTAGACATTTTTATATAGAGCGCAGTGCTGTGAGATTGATGGTACTTTCTAGATATATGGAGAATGAAATAAAATCAGGGAGATCTGTCTACGAAGCGTTTGTCGAGGTATTTTGTATAGGATATTTGGCTTTCTTTGATGATACTTGTTCGAGATGCTTCTTCGGTTTCTCTTTGTGCATTTTCTGATATGAAGGGGATCGACCTGGAACTCGATTCTTTGAAGCTATAAAAAGAATTCCCATACGTTAATTCCGAATATTCGAACAAACTAATATTTCTAAAAGTAGTTGAATTCTCAAACTTAATCCATGTCGACATCACAGTCTCCGTCGTTATCGTATTCACCCCAAAATTCTTTAAGGTCTTCAACACGCCAAGCAGTAGCCCAGCCAGTCTCGCGTTCAATTTTGACCAAAGTCTCAACAATGGCAGTGTGTTCAGAATAATGAGACATAGCCTTACCAGCTATCCACAAAGGTTGAAGTGCGTTAGTCCAGCAGCCACTAGTTACAGATACGCAAAAAGTTAGCAACTCCGCGCTGTATTCCTCTCTTTTTCAGTCAAATAATCAAATAACGGTTGAGAAACTCACTGATGACCGTTGGATGCGGATATTGCACATATTTGTCGAGCATGCCAAAGAACTGACCTCTATTTGTTCATTAGCCTTGGTCACTAAAAAAGCGTAGAAGACAACATACCGGTCTCTTGCTCAATGTCAATGTCTTTGGCTTTCGCTGAAGCAACAGTAAGGCTGCTACATGATACATCTGGTTCCCGGATACTGTCCAATATTAGTACCACGGAGTCAATAAGCAATAGCGAGGAACTTACTAGCAGCCCCATTCCCATACAACGCGATCGGAAAAGCTCGATCCAGTCCTTCGCGCTCGGAAGCGGCTACACTGAATATAGATTTCATTTGGGCAGGTCGATTATCGTACCACTCTTCTACACGCTCAAACGAATCTGCCCAGCGATCAACGTATGAGTCGCCATCGTCGTTGGGGACAGATTGGCATGATGTGCAAGGGTGAGACATTTTTGAAGCACAGCCGAAAAGAACGTTCAACGTTCGCGCGACGAGATATACTGTATAGTTGGCATATGTATCGAGATTGGTTTTGGCTGAAGATATAAATGTCTGTGCAGCTTCGCTGTAGCTCATATCAACCGGACGCCAATTGTGGATAGGTATGATGGTCTCCTCCTCGGATATGAGACCACCGCAAACATCTGATTGAAGTCAGGGAACTGAACAGATGATATGGGAAAGAGGGTTTCATACCCATCCGAGCAAAGCACCAAAAAAGAGCTTGCTCTTCCTTCCCAGAGAATCCGTTGATCCCAGCTGCTTGAATAAGATACGCACAGCCGTCTAAATGGCGACGCCATTCCTTGGGATTACCTATCGTTCGTCAGCTCTGAAGCGCACGATAATGGGAACCCTGGATACCTACAGCTCAACATTTCCAAGACACACAAGATGACACAAGAAGCTATGACAGGAGTGGTTTTACTTCCCAACTCAGGTAAGAGGAGGTGAATGGCTTCCTGGTACAGATATAGGCTCTCTGACTGCGATTTCCGGTTTTGCTGTCTTTCGAGCTGTCGCGCAGATAATGCCAATATAGAGTAACGAAGGTGAGTTGAAGACTTGGCCATCTGAGGGAAGGTGGAAGCAAAATGGCGATGATTATCAAACATGTCGAGCTTTCCAGAGTTAGATGGATTCTCAATATAATGGAGTCTGCACAATCAACTTACCCAGGAGCATATTTCATTAAGATAATTTCCCCACAAGATATGTTCTCTTTCGGGCGATAATTCAAACCTCCTGCTATATTCCAAGCCTCGAGACTGCCGCTTAGTTCTCGGAAACGACCCAGCCTCACTAACTGCTACTGGGGTATGCACTGGAGGAATGGAGTCTTGCGAGCTGCGACGATTTGGAATATCCGGCAGGGCAGTCCATAGCTGGCGGTTTCTTAGAGTCGTATGAAGCGCTTCATAAGCAGAACCAGGCAAAAACACATCGTTGACGAGATCTGCCGGATCGGAAAAGATATTGTGCTCAAACAATGGCGATGGAACAGTCTGGTAAGAGCCAGTCAAGGATGAATGAAACTGAGCGCTCTGAGTTAAGCCCTCTAGCCCACTCAAGCCGTCGATCATATACTCAGGGCTGGAATTATGGATTTGCGACGAGTCATCCCTGGATTGGGGAAGCGTATTGAAGTCACATTGTATGGTTGGTGGATAATGAGACTGGGGAGACTCCGCTTGAAGTCCCAAATCATGCCCATTGATCACATTTTCAGGATGGCGTGGGGATTTGTTTTGAATGGACTTCTGAGACAGGTGTGATGATGTATCGCTGGAGTAGGGTGGTGATAGACCTTGGTTGAGCGCGGGATTAGGACTACGGATCTCATCGGTAAGGGAGGGAGGAGTGGGATCCGGGGTATTTTCCGTAGCGGTCACAGGCACGGGCGTGGCACTGGAATCTGGAGCAGGCGGCGGAGACGGCTCATGTACTGGTTGCTCGGAAGCTCCGTGGCCCTGTTGCTTGGGTGTGCTTTTTTGCCCGTGAGGTTTTTGGGGCGGAATTCAAGATTTTGAATCTACTTTGACGCTTGTTTTTGGTCACTGCCACACCTTGGCTCATCGAGGGGTGATCTGATTCTAGCACCTTGATATTGGAATCACGAAAGGCTCCGAGCATACGCCATTGACACTCGTCGCCTCGGCGCTTGCAGCCCGTGCAGGTGGGCTTAGCCTCATCGCATTTTCGCCGCCGGCGACTGCAGTTGACACATCCAGTTCGTGTACGTTTCCTGCGCTCCATCCCCATGTTTAGGGGATGTAAATCTTGCGGTTCTAGCGGAGCGGAAGTCTGTGGGCTCATTCTGTCATTATCGCTGCTAGCCCGAGGACTATTCAGGGATACGTTCGACATTTTTCGAAATTACCATCCTAGGTAAGCTGAGGATAGCAGTGAATGCTTGCGCGGAGGATGTGCAATATTGAAGAAGTGAAAGATCTTTACCAGATCGGGAAAATTTAGGCGCCTCGTCTCAAGGCGAAACCGGGCTTGGCGGGGCCCCGGGTTTTCCCCGGGGGGGTTTTCCCCGAGTGGCGACGTTGTTCATCCGATGAAAGGAGGTTGAAAGGAGGTTAAATTCCCAATTGGTCATGGAAGTATCTCCAGTCATAACCTCGTTGAAATTAAAGGATCATCGAAGAGCAAATTCTTCTATAGTAGAAAGGTTTACGAGATAGTGAGGGCGTGGAATATTTCAAACCGGCAGAATTTCATCTAGAAAGGCGGCAAGTTAAATCCAGACAGAATAACAAAAGTCACGTGGACGGTATGCCTTCAACCGGGTACTATTCCTAATTAGGTAGACTTGGCGCTATGGAGGTTTCTAACTTAAAGAGGTTTACAACATACGATCGATTTTAATGAGGTGTGACTGTATGAACAGCAAAAGGAAAAATATTGACTGGAAGATATGTAGGGAGTCAAACGGATATCCACATTTTGTATTAACGTACTAGACATATATTAAATCTGGAATGAAATGCGTTGACTCCCTAAACAACCATCACTAGAAGGATTTACTCAACATGTTGAGCATTTACACCCTCCAGGTCTTTGGCAGTGGCATTTCCAACCCGTGTGTCCACATCACCCGCAATTCCCATAGACGAGTCCCAATGAAGCTGGACCTTTTCGTTGGTGAATAACCGATCAATTTGCTCCAGAGTGAGGTTTTGCGTTTCCGGATAGAAAAAGTAGATAAATGGGAGGAAGACGAAGTTGAATACTGAAATATCAGTTAGTTCAAGCGCTGGGGACTGAAATAAAAGAGTTGAGTAGCACATACTGGCGAAATAGATATAAGTCTTATACCCGATGTTGGCAATGCTAACTGGTGTGATTTCCACGACAAGGAATGTACAAATCCCTAACACTCGTCAGCCTTTTGCCGTTAATCAAATAGCCGAAGTACATACAGTTTGTTGCAGTCGCCATAGCGGCTGATCTGGTTTCGAATTGCAAGTGGTGAATATTCCGCGGGCACTTAATGTTCGTGTCTGGTTAGTGCCGAGCTCACTTAAAGCACGATGGTATATGGAGGAATACTCACAAAGCCAAGGAATGGCAAGAAGACCCGTTGCAAAGAAGAAATTGAACAGGAATAGCATGACAGTCGCAACCAAGCCAGCTGCGTGTCCACCATCCCAGATAGTGCCTGCCAAAACAGCCATACAGCAGCCCTGTCCAATGACTGCAAACATCATGAGCTTACGGCGGCCAAGGCTGGAAAAAATTAGCATAATGTCAGGACTCCATCATGGGTCCACATACCGCTCGATAGTCCAGATAGGAACCATGGAGGAAAAGAAGTATGCGATTCCATTGAAACCCGCCAATAGCAATGCTGTGTGGTGGGACATCCCAACAGATTGCTCAAAGATGACAGTGGCGTACTAGGGCTCATTAGCAATGTTAACGTCGGGGTTTCAAGTTGTTTGACTCACGTAGGTAATCAAGTTAATGCCAGATAGCTGCTGCATGGCTTGACCTCCCATACCGAGAAGAGTTCTGTATAAGAAACGTTGCTTGTTGTTCTGAAAGAGAAGTTTGAATGACCCTCCAGATGATGCTTCCTGTTCTTCTTCGACTGCGCGAGAGATCTCTGTAACATCCACGTTCACAACAGGGTCATCCTCGTCGATTTCACGAGCATTATGCTGGAGCGCCCAGATAATGTGACGAGCTTCGTTTTCGTGGCCATGTTGGATAAGCTATCCCGTTAGTTTGAGCTCCACGAATTTCAACACATTTTGACATACCCATCGAGGAGATTCGGGAAGGCACATTACTCCGAGGAAGGTGACGATAGCAAAGAGAATTTGTAGCGCAAGCGGAAAACGGAACTGTGCTTCATTCTTGACATAGCTCATCCCGTAATCTAAAAGAAACAGTAAATTTAGTATCAAGGCTTGGTTAATGGTGTGGACTGGAATGAATACTCACCAACCCAATATGAAAGCATGACACCAAAGATGTTGATGGCTAGCTCAATGGCCAACTGTTCGGAAGGTTAGACCCAGGAATTATAAGAGGCTTTATGAATAACTCACTCCTTTGCCTCGACTTGCCGCCTTGCTCAGTTCCGAATGCCAGACCGCTGTGGCAATGTTAGCAAATAAAAGGAACAAGACAGAGATCGAAATCTAATTGAAGGGTGCCTCACGAATTGTACTTGTGTTGAGACCATTTCCAACACCTGCGATGATCCGGCCGACGATGAGATGGGGAATGCCATAGGCACTGGCTTGGAGAGCTGCACCGATGCTCAGAACGACACATCCAGCCATGATACAATTGCGTCGACCGAGTCGTTCACCAACGAGCAAAGAAACAATTGCACCCAAGAAGCAGCCCTAAGCCTGTTAGAAATGTGATAGCATGGCCTTGAAAACAAACGAGCGCTTACAATCTCGTAAATGGCAACACTATTGTACATAATGTAAGTCATTCTGCGTTCTCTTTTCGGTATATAGGGGGGCCAGATCACTCACACTGTGCCTTGTAAGGAAGAACTACCGTGTCCATTCGCAGTGGTATCAATCTCAGGGAATGTAGCAACAAAGGCATCTCCAGTCAACAGACTGGACATAACGCCCTGGTCATAGCCGAACCTGAACACCCCTGTCAGCTGAACAAACCATTTACCTGGTCTGACGACACTAGGTTCGTCTACTCACAGCAAGAAACCACTACCAGCAGTGGCTGTGATGGCGTAGCTTAACGACCGACCCACGAGGAAAGTCATGATGGTGTAGTGACTGGGTTAATATTTTCAGGTATCGCGCAATAAAACACGCGTGGACGTTTACTCAAAGCTACCTAAAGCAGTGGGGCCCTCGAGGGTTTTATAACTTGAATAACTGGGTACAGTATCATATTCCATCAAGAGTGGCTCCATTCAAGGATTCCGTGACACTGTGGCTTAAGTTCCCACTTTGGTCGATGAACTTCCCCGGCCTGCCATGATTAAGGTTCCGCCGAGTCAACTCCGCGTTTTGCGGGATGCCTTGTGGGGACATTGACGATGGAAAATGCCGCATCTCTTGGATATTTGTCTACTTGAACTAAGGTGCTTTTGCCGAGCTAAGGGAAGCCGAGCTTATGCATATAGTTATTCTATACCTAGGTGGTCATTTTGCGTGAGAATGAGTAGGATGCATAGTTGGAAAGTGCCTAAATAGAAGAAAACAGCCAAACCGAGTCACAAAAGTTCGAAACTTCGGCATCCCTGGACCGGTTAAACTCTTAAATGGCATGCGTATATTTCCTTATTAGGAAGATTTAAACGCAGTCACGTGAAATGTCTCATTGGTGGACCCCGTTAACACGATACCTCACCTCTCCGATACACTTCAACCCCAGCTTGTTCCCCAGCTTGCTGCCCTATTCCCCACTGATTTGCAGTCGCACCTTTCCTTAAACAGCATATTTTAGCACCCGTTGAGAAGACATCGGACTTCGCGACCGGACCGGTGGTTGCGCATATCGGCATGATTTGTCCAAATCGGCAACTACCATTGAAAAATTGGACCTCGAGCAGATTGCATGAAACTCCGTTCCACTATGACCCATCGAGCTGAACATTTCCCTAGTTAGGTTGCATATAACCGCTGTGAGCGATTGTCTGGCTGAGGATGACGCGCTGGAGCATGTGTCTTATATGCAGCAGACACGCTCCAATCTGTTCTCTGAAATAATCAAATCTACCATTTCACTTCCAACCTTTCTTATCCACCATAGCTTAAACATTGACTCACAATGGCCCCTTCTGTCTCCCTCGACCACACCACACCGGCAGTCGTGCCCGAGTCCAACGAGACCCCTGCTGCCTTCGTGCCTGCCAATGACCTCTTCTCTTTGGCCGGTCGCACAGTCATGATCACCGGAGGCGGTCGTGGTCTGGGTATGTGCTTGACCACTGCTGTCCTTGAAGCTGGTGGTGACGTTGCCTGTCTTGATTTGCTCCCCGAACCCAGCGAAGAGGAGTGGAACGCCGTGCAGAAGATGGCCAAACAGCGTGGCCTTCAAGCAACATACACCCAGTGCGATATCACCAATGAGGAGGACACTAAGAAAGTATTGGAAGACATTGCGGCCGAGGCACTGCGTCGGAACAAGCCCTTGCGTGGTGCCATTACTTGTGCCGGCATTCAACAGATGGTCCCCGCTCTTGATTACCCTATCGATGGATACCGGAAGATGCTGGATGTCAAGTGAGTTGGATAATGTTGTGTCATACAAGAGCGTCTTGCTGATTGCCGTTTTCCTACTTAGTGTTCTTGGAACATTTATTCCTGCCAAGCACTGTGCGCGCATCTTCGTGGAGCAAAAGACCCCAGGCAGCATTGTGATGATCGCGTCTATGTCTGGTCAGATTGCCAACCGGGTAAGTCTCGCGACAGATTGAATTAGGAAATCGCACACTAATAAGTGAATCTTCTGTAGGGATTGACCTGCACCGCATACAACTCCTCCAAGGCCGCCGTGCACCAGATGTGTCGATCGGTTGCCCAAGAATGGGGCCAGCACAACATTCGCGTCAACACGCTTTCCGCAGGAGTAAGGCACCAACGTCATGTTCTGGCTTGTCTGAGTGAATCCGGCTGACCGTTGATATTCTAGTACATTCGCACTGCCATGACCGACGCTTTGCTTCAGGAGAAGCCGGATTTGGAGGAGACTTGGATGCGTGGTGCACTTCTCGGCCGTCTTGGCGCCCCCGAGGACTTCAAGGGGCCTACTCTATACATGCTCACCGACGCTAGCGCTTGGATGACCGGTGCTGATCTCCGAGTCGACGGTGGTCACTGTGCGTCGGCATAAGCTGGTGATTCAGTAAACGGTGAGAACGAGAGATGAAATAGACCTGACATGCTTTTGGCGTTTTAGAGTGGATTTGGATGGGCCATAGAGACGTCTTGAAATTAGAGATGAAATTACATATGATCCTTGCCCAGTTTATTACACACTCACCTTTCTCGGCCCTGAGAGTAAACTCATCAGTTCTAGGTCATCCTGTCTGCTGAGCCGTACTTAACAGAGCTTCCCTCGGTCAATGTAGCTGTTCTCAATGGGTTCCCACAGCAATTTATTCCTTTGGAAGACATTGCGAAAGCATATATTAATAGGATAAGTGCGTCCATTTATTATTACAATAGGGAAATTCCCCGAAGGATGTGGATAATGACGTGAGACGACACGACAACATTCACCACATCCATGATCACCCACCACAACAGCCTGCATACATCAAAGTCCAATATACTCTCCAGCCAGAAAGGTCAATCTAATCAATCCAGCTTCTCCACCAAGAACCTGCTCGCATCCCCCGCATCAGCAACGTAAGAGAAATGCGGCGCCGCAACAATCAATGTCCCATGGCAGACCTGGTCCCCAACCGCGCAATAAATCTTGGTCTTATCCTTAGGGAAGTCTGGAATCTGCCCGTTGTCTTGCTGGTTGCGGGTATCTCCGAACAAGACGACTCCCTTGATTTGGTCCTTGATAGCATCGGACAGTTTGGGGATGGCGCCGTGCATGACGGCCGTTCCTTGGCTATTAACCACCGTCATCAGTCCTCTGATTACATTTTCCACTTGAAAGGCAGGAAATAAAGGAAATATGTATACATACCTATAGCCTCCCGCCACAATCTGCGTATCGGGACACTTGCTCGCCGCCTGCTCAAACAATCCCTTCGCTTCTTCGATCGCCTCATCAGATGTTCCCGCCGGCAGGGAATTCGCTGCCAGAGTCGCCTGGTACTTGGGCCCCACGCCCTGGCATGCAACTTCCTGGTTACGGGCGCTCTTGAGGTCGTTGCAGACGGCAGGGCCGGTCGAGCCGCCGAGGAGGCCTTGTTCAGTAGAGGCGCGGGCGAAGATAAAGGTTACTGGTTGGCAGGGACCATCGCGGAGCTCATTGCCTGAGGATGAAGCTTTGAAAGATATTTGGTTAGTTAGGGGCTGGGATGGATGGAGTGGAGGTGCTTAGGTACTCTGGCGCTGCTCGATTGGGCCTGCTGTGACTAGGCCGGCGAGGAGGAGGGACAGGAGTTTGAAGTTCATTTTGTAGGTATTGGACTACAAAATCGTGGTCAGTTGTATCTCGAGTAAAAGAGAAGTTGTCTTCTACGGAGGCATGGACTCATTTATCTACTTACCCAAGAGAAGGTATGCGGGGTTTCTCAAATCCACTTACTTGCTCAGTCTACTTTAGAGCAGCCCCTTTTGTTTCAAGTGTTCTTAGCCCTAAGGCTGATCCGTGTGAGGCCGAAGGATATCGGCATCAAGGAGACCTGGAAAGGAAACAGGTCCGGGAAGTGGGCGAATTCTAATTTGTTGAGCAGGACATATAGCTATACGACAACCGTGGACCATCTCCCAACAAGATAAGCATTCAAATGCCGTCGGGAATACTTCGGGGCCCGTTGGAGTAAAGTTCCGTAGTGACACGAACACCCTACCACGTGTATCAAGTCGTATCAACTCCCGATAATCAGGAACAGTCGATCTTTTACTTTGTTTAGTTCGAAACTTAGGTCGACCGTGGGCGGTTGACACGAAAAGCCAAGGCCAGCCCTGAGGACCAAATTTTGGGGCGAAGGTTATTTCCGTTTCGGGCCAAACCTCCGATGGGGGGAACATGGGAACTTCTGGGTTCCCACTTTCAATCACCTTATGTAAGGCTATTGGAATATGTTCAAGGCCCTGAAAACGAGCAATATGCAAATCTCCAAATTCTCTGCTAATATATTGTTAACTCCATGTCAGATCCTATCTATGGATATTGATATTGCATCCGATGTGTTTGTAAGGGAAGGCTTCTACGGCCCTAAAATATAGGGTTTCGATGAGCCGAAAACGCCCCGCTCCAACGCTCTGCGGTTGAACGGAAGTCAATTGGGGAAAGGGTTCTGTTTCAAATGCTATGCTTTCCGTGCCAAAAATCGAGGCCCTCGATTGAGTGGACCGGAATGTTGTCGGGATCAATCAGCACCCCCAGCTGGGGGGGGAGTTACCTACTCCGCAGGTAGAAAGGAGATGAACTGATCCAGGAACATCACGTATCTAGCAAAGTAAGCACCACTCTATGCCCAGGTGGACCGGAATCGAGTTCCACACACGGCGGGACAAGATAGATCCTTCTCGGCCTGGATTTCACGGGGAAGGCCCATTTTCTGGTCTCCGGCCCTCAGGCGCGGGAAAGTCTTATATCGCGTCATGTATCATCGAATATTTGAAATTGTACCTGCAGAAGAGGATGCATCGCATGTTTCCGTTGGATACTTATTTAAAGACGAAGACCAACACTCGTTCTGTACAGCCCTGCGTTATGTGTCATCTTAAATCGCACATAATGATCACCTATAGGACTCTATTCAATTCCTAGGAAAACGACCCCAACAGAGCTGGAGAAAAAAAGGTTCATTGCTGTTCATCTTCGGAGTAGCTCTCTTTCTTGCCCATTTCTACCGGATTTGAGGTCGGGATGATGACGCGATGCGCCTCCGTAAGGCATTGACTATTTGTCAAAGTCACTGGTTTATTATCCCTCTACAAGGGGATTATTGGAGTACTACATGGTAGCTCTGTAATTATAAACCGTAAATATAGGATACAGTCCATCCCTACATATACTGAGAACCCTCTCGTTTCTATACTGTGTTTGATGCCATTGTTCCAGCTGATGAGTGACTCGAGGTTAGATAGTATAGTTCTTGGGACCTCATCTCTTGAATACAAGTCCCCTCCCTTTTCTCCATGCCAAGTGCACACCCCCCTAATCCACGCAAGCGCTCGGTTGATGCACGTAGCCGCGATGGGTATGCGCTTGACACAGCCTGCTCAACTTTGATATCTTCATCGGCAGCATCCGAAGCCATCGGAAATTGAAGGTCTTTCCGAAATAGAACCCGACCTATCAAGCGAAGTACTTTTGCAGAACCCCTCCAGGACCGTCGGGTTGTCGTGGGGTAATCTGGAGGAGCACTAGCGTTTCACCCCCACATTCTCCGACTCCAATTAGTTCAAAAGCCGTTTTGATAATTGGAAGGAAACGATATCAAATTCGCATTCCTGATCTGAAATTACGAAGCTCATAATGGTTGATACACCAGCTAAAGAAGACCATGTCGATGTTCTCATTGTCGGTGCCGGCCCAGCGGGGCTCATGCTGGCCAACTGGCTAAGTCGCTGCGGAGTCAAGACCCGGATAGTGGACAAGCGTGGCTCCAAGGTATATTCTCGTACCGATACGAGCCGCTATACAGGTGCATACTGACGCCAGTATAGGTCTTCAATGGTCAGGCGGACGGTCTGCAATGTCGCACCCTGGAAATCTTTGACTCATTTGATTTTGCCCACCGGGCATGGCGCGAGGCAAACCATATGTTGGAGATTTGTCTTTGGAATCCTGACAAGGATGGCCGCCTTCAACGAAGTAACCGCATTCCAGACACTATTCCTGGACTCAGTCGTTTCCAACAGATCGTGCTGCACCAGGGTCGCATCGAGCGGTTCTTCCTCGATTCAATCAAGGAACATAGTGACATCCGTGTTGAGCGTGGAGTGTTGCCCACATCTTTCGATCTCGACGAAGCCAAAGCAGGCGATTTCGAGGACTACCCTATCAGTATTACACTTCGTACCTTGGCCGAGGAAGAATCCACCCCTCAACAGCGGCAGCAACATCAGAAATCTTCCGATGGCCAGCAAACAGTAATCGAGGATGGACTTTTCCGAAGTAACTTGGTTGCTGATGACACCGAGGACCTCATCCAAGCGGCAGAGGCCAAAGGAAATCAAACTTCCAACGAAGTCGAGCATATAAAAGCTAAATTCCTGGTCGGTTGCGACGGTGCTCACTCCTGGGTGCGCCGTCAGGTCGGTTTTAGCTTGGAAGGTAGCTCAACCGATTATATCTGGGGCGTGCTCGACATTGTCCCCATCACGGATTTCCCAGATATCCGCCATCGATGCGCTATTCACTCCGCGAATGCGGGTAGCTTGATGGTGATTCCCCGCGAGAATAAACTCGTCCGGCTCTACATCCAGCTCCAGGCGACGGATTCCCAGAAGAATGGCTCCAAGGCTGACCGGTCCTGGATCACCCCGGAGATCATCTTACAATCTGCCCAACGTATCGTGCACCCATATAAGCTCGATTACGCGTATTGCGACTGGTGGACGGCATACCAGATTGGGCAGCGGGTGAGTAACAAGTTTTCGCAAAGCGATCGCGTCTTCCTGGCTGGTGATGCTGTCCATACGCACTCTCCCAAGGCTGGACAGGGCATGAATGTCAGTATGCAGGATAGTAAGTTTTTGAACTCTGGTATGTTTGAAATTAGTTCTCACATTTTGAATAGCGTATAATCTGGGGTGGAAGCTCGCCCATGTCATCAACGGCCTCAGTGGACCTTCCATCCTGCAAACCTATGAGTCTGAGAGAAAGCAGATTGCGCAGGACTTGATCGCTTTCGATCACCGCTTTTCTAGGCTTTTCTCTGGACGTCCAGCCAAGGATATCATGGATGAAGAGGGAGTCAGTATGGAAGAGTTCAAAAGCGCATTTGAAAAAGGAAACGAATTCGCAAGCGGCATAGGTGAGTTTCTTATAATGCTTGAAGAACTCCTGGTACTGATATCGATTTTCGTAGCTGTCAACTATGCTGCCAGTATTCTCGTTGCGAAGGAATCGGATGCCGCAGAACAAGGCAATAACACGATCATCAGTAAGCCAGAGCTGGCTACGAAGATTGATATCGGCAAACGGATACCTAGCTTCAAAGTTTTGAACCATGCTGATGCACGCCCATGGCATCTGCAGGAGCTATTGAAGAGCAACGGACGCTGGCGAGTGATAGTTTTCCCTGGACGACTCGCCGAGCCGCAAAATATGGAACGCTTCGAAAGGCTAGGCGCCTCTTTGGGAGGGCCAGATTCTTTCATTCGCCAGTTCACACCACCAGGCAAGTCTATTGACAGTGTGATCGAAGTCTTGACGGTTCATTCCGGATCACGAAGAGACATCGAACTTCTCGATCTTCCGGAAGCGTTCCACCCCCATCACGGTGACATGGGATGGGATTACTGGAAAGTCTTTGTCGATGAGGAGTCTTATCATGAGGGTCATGGTCAGGCTTACGCAAATTACGGCATTGATCTCAACCGCGGTGCTAGTGTCATTGTTCGCCCTGATCAGTATGTTAGCTGGGTTGGAGAGGTCGATGACTACGAGCAGATGTCGCAATTCTTCAGTGGCTTCATGAGACAACAGGCTGGAAACAATCCCCTATAGAGGATGGAAGCAAGCACTAAATACCGGGTCACGGGATCCGTCCTATATAAAGAAAGGGTACTCAGAGGCCTACCTAGGTAGCCTACGTACATATTTCAAGCTAAATACATTTTATTCTATAGCTACTAGCAAAAAAAGGCACAGCCATAGCATCTCCACAAAGAACCCCTTAATGTAGGGCTTTAACCGAAACATTCAATCAGTCTATAAACCATGCCTGTCAGTGTTGGTCTATGATTCTCCTCTTTCATCAATGCACCAGCCCAAGCATACCACTCCAAGACGTATATAACCATGACCATATCCAAGTATCTATCCCACCATCTAAAGCTTCGACTTCCCAACCCCATTCGCCTTCGCCTTCGCCTCAAAATACTCTCTAACCCTCTCCCTTGCAACAGAAACAACCTCCGCATCCTCAACAGTAGGCGGCACACTAACCTCCGCCGCATACTCCCCCTTCACCCCAATTTCAACAAGCTCCCTAAGAACACGCCTAAGCGTCTTTCCACTCCGCGTCTTGGGAATCATCCCCCGACCCTGTATAATCCCACCCAGCGACGCAATCGCCCCGATCTGCTCGCGGACCAGCGCGTTAACCTCGGCAAATAACTGCGGGCTCGGCGTTGCCGGAAGAGGCCCATTTTCTCCAGGGATCGCGCCAGCTTTGGGCTGAATAAATGCGAAGGGGAGATGGCCTTTTAGCGGGTCGGGGATGCCAACGACGCTTGCTTCGCTAATCGACGGATGCGAGAGGATTGCTTGTTCAATGGATCCTATAGAAATGGGTCAGATCATGTATCCTCTGAGCATGGCCCTGGGAAGCGAGGAAAATCAAATTCCTTACCGGTGCTGAACCTATGCGCGGCAACATTGATGATATCGTCACTCCGCGACATAATATGCACGTAGCCATCCTTATCAATCATTCCCGCATCACCGGTATCAACCCAGCGGCCATTAAAGCGCTTAAGATACCCACGGTAAAACCGTTCTTCGTCCTCGAAGAGGGTTGTGAACGCTGACGGGGCGAGCGGCGGAGCCATAACAATATTGCCCATTGTTCCGCGCGGGACTTCGTTGCCTTCGTCATCAACAATGCGGACATCAAATCCAGGCATCGGAAAGCCTGCTGAGCCGGGACGGGGCGTGAGGGGAGAATGATCTGGTCCGGATGCCAGACTAGTAAGGGCAGCACTCCCGTCCAAGGCAACACCCGTAATCGGGGACCCGGATTCAGATGACCACCAGTTATCAATAACAAGCGCACCATCCGCGGCATACTTACCAAGCAGGTCTTGGTATGAGCTAACAATACCCGGCTCGCTACGCTCACCGGCGAGGAAAAGCGCACGGAGCGATTTCAATCCTCCGCGCTTCCCGACCTCGCCGATAAGCTGGTTGTCCGGGTCGTCTTTCCGGATGGCTCGCATAGCAGTTGGTGCCGTGAAGAGTGCATTCACATTGTGTTTCTCGATGATACGCCAGAACGTTCCTGCATCCGGCGTGCCGACGGGTTTACCTTCAAACAGGACGGTCGTGGCGCCGACCAGCAGCGGTGCATAAAGGATGTACGAGTGCCCGACGACCCAGCCTATGTCCGATGCGCAGAACATTGTGTCCCCGGGACCTTTTATCCCGAAGAGGGATTTTATGGAGAGTTCCAGGCCCACGGCATGCCCGCCTGCTTCGCGGAGGACGCCTTTGGGGAGGCCAGTTGTTCCTATGGAAACATGTGAGTATAAAGAACAGGAGACCAGGAACCGGAATCGTTCTTAGAATCTCTCACCACTTGTATAAATAATATAAAGCGCGTCCGTACTCTTAACAGGGACAGGCCCAGCCTTAACCCCACGGAACCGTGCACTCTTAACGAGTCTCTGCCAATTACGCTGGCCACCGCGCTTATCGGGCTGATTCCAGCGGAGTTGGTCACGCTGCCAGACAATGACCTTGCTCGGCTTGAAGCTGCTTGCCTTGATGGCGCCCTCGACGAGTGGTCTGTAGGAAATGGCCCCTTGGACCCCTCTATTCCACATGACGCTGTCATTATAGCTCTCGGACGCGCGGCCTCAATGCGCTGTGCCAGAGCTTGCGGGCGAAGCCACCGAAGACGGCGGCGTGGATTGCGCCTAGGCGGGTTATTGCCAACGCAGCTATTAGGGCTGCGGGGATCATTGGCACTAGATGCGATACGTGGTCAATTTTTGCTGTTTTTAATGATTCCCCACTTGTACGATGGCGAAGTTGTTGGTTTGCATACTGTAGATAATAACAACATCGCCCTTCTGTACCCCTTCCTCCCTAAGCACACCGGCAAGCACCTCAACCTCATCAAGTAGACGGGCATAAGTATACTTCTCTGTTACACCGGTAACTGGCGATTCCCATACGATCGCAACATTGTCGCCATGGCCTGCGAGCACATGCCGGTCGACACAATTGTAGGTTGTGGAGATCTCGCCGTCAGCGAACCACGACCAGTGATCATGCTCGGTTCCGCTCGCTAGGAACTTTGTCTTCCGTGTTAGGGCACGTGAAGGTTTGCGGTGCCAATGGAGTCTGGCCGCGTGATGGGACCAGAATGTTTCTGGGTCGCCAAGGGAGTGTGAGTGGGTTGTTGATTGGGGGTGCGGAGACATTTTGGGTAGAATGTGCAAATCTGGGGGAAGCTGCTTTGAGAAGCTAAGAGAGAAACAGGTTACACAAGATGAAAACAGTACTCTAGAGCTCTGATATGGAGCGATGATACCCGAGGTCTTTCGGATCGAATAGTACGATTGGCCACGGAGAGAAGGAAGAACCTTAGAAGTTAAGACAGATCGACGAGACAAGTTCATGTCTGTGCGCCATTTGCGGGGGAAATTGGGAAAAGGGAAGCAGGTGAAGCCCAAGAGATCCCCCGGATGCAGCCGAAGCGAGTCCGTGCTTTTCCCCCGCACTTTTCTTTTGGTACCCAGTACTACCCAGGTTGTACCCGACGTATACCTCATGGGCAGTGTTAAGTACGACCTGGAATGAGGTACTACACTTGTACCCTGGTAATTTTGCTTCTTTTGCTTCGGATTTTCTATAGTGAAAAAAGAAGAAACATCTTTATCAATTGTCTATATGGCATAAATGGCTGAAAATGAAGCAAAATAAAACAAGCTCAGTCGTAGGGTATCATATCGAAATGCCTGCTAATGCGCGACTGCGATCTTCTGGCTTCGTCGCCTTTTTTTTTTGTTTCTTTCGGGGGTGCTCCTAGGCGTGTCCGAAAGATTTCTCCGATCGCAGCTTATCAGGTAAGCAGAGACCGAAGAAGAGAGACGATCGTCAAGGAAAAAGAGTAAGGGGAGCTTGTGGAAATCTAGACAGCCAATCTGCATGCCTGGGCGCATTTCCAAAGAGCAAAGAAAAGCCAAAACCAAAAATTTTACGCTGAAGGCTTGCAGACACTGGCCTCAATCCCCACACCAGTTCTCAAGCCCTTCAAAATGCGAGCGTAAAAAAATGTAGCATGGCAAGGACCACCGACGCCGAACGAGGTAACCAAAAGACAGAACCCTCCAGATGCACCCGGGACCAAAAGAGAGGAAGAGAGAAAAAGGAAACAGCCATTATTTCAGTGGGAAGTCCAACGCCTCCCGGACGGACCCGGCCGATCACAAGAGAGTACACTGAAGCCGACTGCGATGCCGCGACCGGTCGGGCCGGAAGGACTTGGGATATTCGGGGCCTGCATCGCGATCGCGGTGGCCTGATCCGAAGCCTGTCGGGCGACGGTCTGCGCCACGCCCACCTGCCGCCTGTTGTCGCTGCTGGCGCAGCATGCGGACCACGTCGTAGAAGGCCTTCTCCACGTTGATACAGTTCTTCGCGGATGCCTCGACAAATTCACATCCCAGCTCCTTGGCCAATGCTTGGCCTTCCTGTGCTGAGACTGCGCGCTCGACAGCCTTGTCGCTCTTATTGCCGACTAGCATGACGGGCACAGGCATTGCAGGACCCGATGAGGCGTTCATGGGCGAGTTCAAATAGCTAGGGCCGGAGGGGGAGCCGGAGCTTGAGGATTCCTTGACCATCTTGATTTGATTGTAGAATTTTGTGATGCGGGAGAAGGAGGCGCGCGATGTGATGCTGTACACCAATACGAAGCCCTCGCCATCCCGGATCCACTGGTCTCGTAGTGCGGTATATTCTTCCTGACCCGCTGTGTCCAGCACCTCGAGCATACACGACTGTTGATCGATCACGACTTGTTTGCGATATGAATCCTCGATGGTTGGATCGTATGTTTCGACAAAGTGATTAAGACACAACTAGTACAGTTTTAGTCGGGTTTCTTCTCCAAGTGTTAAGGTGTCAAGGTCGACCAACCTGAATGGTAAGGGCGGTCTTTCCAACACCTCCGTCTCCTAACACCACCAGCTTGTACAACGTCATTTTTCCAGCCATGGCAACTGGAATTGAGAACAGATCGGAAAGAAACAAAGACAATCAAGCTAGAGAAGTCAGTAACTTGATAGCGATACAGCTTGCAAGCGACATACCTATAATTATTTCAGGGGAAAGAGAGGGGAGGTTCGAAGTCGCAAGGAGGGGGGAAAGGTGTGAAGTGGCCCACGTTCCAGGCGGGGGGCGAAAAAGAAAAGCGGGAGCTTCCACGCGATTCACAGCAACCCCCAATTGTTGCCGGTAGGATGACGCAAAAGGGATGGGAATAGAGAAGGGGAGAAAAGAGGGAAAAAGAGAATTAGAGAAGAGAGAGATAGAGAGAGAGAGGGGGGGGGATTGTGCGAAGTCTGGTCCGGGGGGCTGGAACGAAGTGGAGAGAGGGGTTCAAGGGAAGGGAATATAAGGAAGATAGGAATATACGGAGTACCTAGGGAATATAGAAAGATATTAAAGAATTAAGGAATTAAGGAATTAGATATGAAAATATAGAATAGAAATAGAATATAAAATAGAATATAAAATTATAAAGAGAATGAAATTCGTACTTTTCCCGAGATCCTCCCTGTTCTCTTCCTACATATTCCTCTACTCGACTTTTTTCTACAACTCCGAGACGGTTTCGGATACAAAACAAATAAATCAAAGCTAAACCTATAAAAGGACGAAAAATAGAGACATTATACGGGGGGGGATCTTATAATTAAGCCAAACGCCTTCAGTGACAGCTCCATGAAGTCATACACTTTCTCTTTCTTATGGAGTACGGAGTACATTTTCCCAATATCCACATTGTAGTCTAGGGTGCTTTTTCACTTATACCCTTTATCTTATACTATATGTTATACATCCGAAGACCTCTAGAATTAAAAATCCCTTCTGAACGGATCAGACAATCCCGGAGAAAGTAAAAAGTAAAGAGAAAAAACTTCTACAAGAGTAAAATCACTCGAAAATAAAGAAGAAAAAGTCCAGGTCCCGAAGGTCCCACTGTGAAAAGGAGAAACGCACAGGGCACAGTGGATAATCCCGGACTTGAAGCTCATTTCCTTGCGGGAGAGGAAGCTGAGCTTCCTATTTTCTCTCTGGTTTTTCTCTTCAAAAATTTAATTTAAGGAAAATTTGATTAGCCGAGAAACTGTTCCTTATAACATTTCATCTATTCTCAAAGGCACTTGCGTGCCCCAGTCTGCACGTGGAAGACATCGATCTATATGGTTCCATGCTTAGTCTACTATCTACTATCTACTATGAATATGTACGGTATAATAATAATCCATTGGATGTTTACATAGAATTATCTAAAGTCCCAATTGGTTCTATGGAATTAATTAAATTAGTGCAATGCCCCATTTCCCTGGGCACTTTAAAAATTCGGAGTTAATTACTATCAAGTATTCGTACTGTGTATAGCCCTTAAAATTTTAACACCTACTTAGGTATAGCCCTGGAGCAGTTTATAAAGTCTCCCTCCCTCCATGGCCCTGGGAGACGCTACCCCAATAGCGCAAGTCAAACGAATCCCGCGATGGGTCCTAAACCATATATTGTACCCTGCAGTTTGGATTCCGGAATATCCATCTCTTTAAAAGTTCAACGCCAACCTCAAACTAGTTTAGGATCGAGTCTTGGCCTACTTATTGGCTCTCGTTATTGCCTTCCACGTTCTACCCCTGCCTATTCTCCCCCTGTCCATTCTATCCCTGCCACTTGCATTTCCCAGGTATGAGTCTCTCTATCCCCTGTCCGCGTCAATCTGGCATACTTGACATTTAGCTAGGTCCAAAGAGCCTATAACCACTGGTGAATGTCAGAGGCTTCATCTCTCTTACAATGTCCACCCGCGGAACGGCACGTAAAAATGTCCCCATTGATACATAGATCGTCCTAGGGCCTTGCGAGCCACAAAGGTGGACAACACAACGGGAGGAAGTTCGGAAGGTGGGTATGTACTCCCTATGGTCCATTTCTTTTACTTTCGGATTTTTTTCCTTCTCTTCCTCTCATAGAATCCACCGCTCTATTTCCTTAGTAGGCAACTGGTTGGGCATCAACTCATAGGGCCCGGGATGGCTCCGTTTCCCGTCCCAGTTCTGTGGCCGCGGGCCAGGGGTTATATCGGGGAAACTGTTCCCGTCCACTTTTTTGGTTGAACGTAATAGGCCGGGTCCCGACGGAACCATATTGATTTCTCGTTCTCTCCAGGGTTTTCTCTTTTTCTTTTTGATACATCCACGGCCTCTTCTCAATTTCCAAGGGAACCATAAACTGTATGGCAAACTGTATGTAGCGATGTGTACTCAAGCACCTTTGTTACCCCCTTTTGTATATCAGATATCAGCATATTCAACTCCAGTCAGCACGCCCAATGATTGTTTCATCCTCCCCCCTGTTCACACGGAAAGGCCCGGCCCAACGGCTGACTTGCCAGTATGCTATTAAGGGAAAGCTCTTCCCGTGGTACCAATGGTGGCCGTGCATTTGATTGAAGGGCCAGGGGTTGGTCCAACGGCTCCTCCCGTTTGGCCGTTATATATGGGGAACGCTGACTTTGTGCCGTTCAACGGTCCGCTATGGTCTCGCCCTGGTCTCAGGATTTTAATCTCGAATCCTGTTCATACCGGCTAAGGACTACCGGTGACGGGATTTGGTATGCACCTGCCTTATACTGACGTGCATGATGCGACGGCTTTTGGTCATGTCCCGTGAATCCTTGATCCTGTCATCTGATTGTGGATGTGTGCATCCATCGTGCGTCTGGGCGTCCGGCGATCGGCAGGTTCCCAGCAGGTTGGCCCTTGGGAAACTGGTTGACTGTTGCGAACGGACTGATGTGACATTGTAAGATTATCCCTTGAGGCCCAATCTTGGGGGATCCTCGTTGTTGATCCGTGGCTTGGATACTGCCCAAGGTTGACCATGTTTGTGCCTCGGATATCTCACAAAATCGGATCACATGTATACTTCACCCTGTATATTGCAGATGTAGATGTCGATCTCAACATGCCAAGTCCCCGAAAGATCCCTGATGGTATGCCTCTCAAGCATGCTGGATCAATAATGTGATCCTCCCGTTACGCTATTGATTGGGCCAATGCCGGTGGGACTAGTTCAACGTCAGGTGAGCGTGTCAAAGCTCAATAATAGGTACATCACTAGGACGATTATTTGTGGAGAAAGGGGAGAAAGCCATGTGGCCAAAAGGCTTAAGCTCCAAGCATGATCTCGCATTATTCCAACTTTATTACCATTTTGGTTAGTCTTTAGACTCATCAGCTGCACTTGTACCTCGGTAGTACTGCGTACTCCTTTCCTTTTTGGAAGAATAAGATCAGGCCATTATGTTTAGTCTTCAATAGGGGCTATCATCTAGTCTATGTGATCAACGGAGTATTGGTCATCGATATGGCATCGTGTCAAATGGCATTTATAGAAGTCCACGGGTGGACCTCGGGAGACATACTTGGTATGTAAGCTGTGATGATGATGCAGAACGGGTTTCAGGAAAAATAATCTATCTGTGACACGGCTGTGTAGTTAGCGTAATGGGATTTATCTTCTTTCGGGTTCGGATTCTAGCTGAGATTCAGCTTGAAGTCAATATAAATCCGTCAATATATTCCATACTGCTAGTGATTGGACTCTTCACAGTGCCGTTAATCTACTACATACCCATTTTTAGGTTGTCACATCTAAAGCTCTATGGAGAAGCTGTACTCCGTACGACTCCATGAAACGTGGCAGGATTTGTATATTTCTATTGCTCATTAAACACTCGAGGAAAAAAGTCACATGAGAAACACTGACAGCTTTGGAATGAGGCCGTAACGAAGAACTAGAGAACTTCCAAGGTTGGTATTCGAAACTGCAGATATTGTTCAGCTGGTACTTACTACCTTAAATATCGAAATGTCCCCATCGCACTATATAAACATATTTACAACCCCGGAATAACATACAATCTCACTGCTTCAGCAGAAATCACCCTCGCTGAATATCATTCAAATAAGCCGTCACCCTCTCCACCAAAATCCGCCGTGGCTCCGCTTGATCGCTATCACTCAGTGCATGCGATGCATTAGGAATAACCATACTCCTTGGATCCCAGATCTGCCGCCCACTCCCATCGGCAGCAATCTGCCACCTCTTCAAGAGAGCCTCCTTATTAACCCACGGGGGAACCGACTGATCCCTCCCAGAGTACAGCACCAGCATTTTCTGCTTCAGCAAGGCCCTCTCCCGAATCATGCCAAATGTCCTACGGAACTGCTCATCACTCAAATCGGAACTAAACAAATCATCCTCAGACGGATCCTCCGGACTATCCGGACTAACCAGACTCAAGAACCGTCGGCTGCTAACCGGCGCAGAGGGCGGATACCCAATCCGCGACGTCACAGATAACGGCACGACCGTATCAACAAGATCATGATCCTCATATGTCGCCCGCCGCGCATCAGCAACAGCCTTATTGTATATCGCGCGCATCTTGGCCGGGCTATCACGTTCAGTGCCACACTTCACAACCCATAATATACCCTCGCGGTCAGAAACAGGCGCTTGCATAATAGCCCCGTCAACAGGTTCCCGCACAATTGGCTTCCAGTGGCGGTCGAAGACAGGGTGTGCGGGCCGTGGGTTGGGACAGTTGATATAGTGCATCACGTCCTGGCTACCTGTCGAATGTCCCATGATGACCACCTTTCCGGCACCGAATTGTGGCTCTTTGTATTTGCGGACATACGATACGCACTGTGACAGCTCGTCGATGTCTTTGCCCAGTCGTCCCATGCCCCACCCGCCGCCGGCGCAGGATAGGATCAGCGAGAATACGCTCCATTGGGATGGGTCCAGCGCGCGTACGACGTCGCTCAAATAGTCGACTGAGCCGAGACTGTCACCTAGCCCGCCGACGAAGACGAGTGTGTGGGGCTTGGGTACATGGCTGCGGGTGTATTCGAAAGCGACGAGGGTTTCGGTCTGAGGTGGCGTTAGCAGTGCGGATGGCTTAGCTGCGGGGTGGGTGGCATACGCAGTGGTGTAACACACCGGGCTGTCCCTGGGCCAGTGAGGTGAGTAGCTTGAGTTGCATTATGAGACGTTGGGTGCCGCAGGCGGTAGTAATACCCAGGTGCAGATTGGTTTAACAATGTGCGTCAGATCAGATAAGAGAATCAGATAAGGAGCTATCACGGACTTATTCCGATACCGGCTTCGCGAAGAACGGTAAAGATGAAAGTTAGGGCTTGAATATAATATTACTAGCAGGTATTTGGTATTATATTTCCAATTCCCGAAATCGGAATTTGAGTTCCATACTTCGCTCGAGTTCATCATCCCTATATCAACTCTTAACTAATGTGAAACGAAAAAAAAAATGAATACAGCTGAAGGTATCTAAGTACCCTTATCCTTGTATTACCACGAACTAACTCCAACAGAACCTCATTGAGCGGCAACGAAAAGCAGCGAGTTGGGGTCACGTCTCAAGGAAACTACATTTTCCTTCGACTCTCAGAGCCAGAAGTAAATTTTCATAGCCGTTGGGCATTGCTCTAAAAAGAGAACCATGATCTCAATCGTACATCGTCTTTCTACCGTCAAGAAAGATGGTAGAACGACCATGATGCGCGATGGAGGTGTCGTGGAAGAAGTAATCACAAAGAAACTTGGAACTCATGGCCTAAATAAAGGGCTTATGCTGATGCTGTTAAGATGCAGAACCTCAACACCGTCTAGGCAATCAAGTTGACAATCACTCAAGTGACATCACTGAAACGAAGCAAGCCAGTGAGGGCGAACAGTTAATTTGGAATCGTCGTCCACTACACCTACCAAGAAGCTAACGAGAACAAAACTCCCTCTGGCATCGGAGCAAGGGGGTATGTCTTATCATACACTCCTATCTGCTCATTGCACTTATTTCACTCGTGGATGCCAGTATCATGCTGAATAAAAACAAGTCCTACTATTGAGGTCTAGGCTCTAGGATTGATTGAGGATTCAATCTTCCATTGTTCATAATGTTCCCTTTCAATCGGCTTGCAAGAAAGCTATGGCGAACTATTCTTGTGCACACTCTAACCGCGGGGTCGCAGACGGGGCTTCCTCTTCACTGCAAATCGAGACAGCATTGGATTAGGAGCAATCTGAGAACAAACACAGCAAAGGTCAGCATGCGTGCCTCTTTCGGCTTTGAGGTACACTTACAGGAAACCCGCAGTCCCACATAGAAGTCTCCTTGTTTTCTCTAAATGATATGAGTATCACTCCGAGGCTACCAGGATGCGTAGGTATAGCAGTATACTCACAATATGCGCCGCCGAAATATGTCTCTTTACCCGCCCCGGGTCAGGTCGCCCCTCCGCTGTATCGAGAGCCGTGCAATATGGGCACCTGAAGGCACATGAAGGGATTTCCTTTGGAAGACCGACGAGAGTTAGCCATGTCTTGAAATGTTAGCTTGGGGTAACTAGGTTTGAATACTCACGATCATCACATGGTCAACTGGCCACTGGGTTGAGGAGTGCTGTCGGCATGCACACACTTTCTTGCGTTGGCTCCAGAATTTGCGCGTGAGTAAATATCAACCGAAGGACTTGGGGGACATATGCTTACACCCAGTAGTTAGGTTGCACTTTCGGGTCGATTCTCGTCCAGTAGAACCCCCGGAGTGGGCTGCCATCGCTAGTGATCCAAGGATTCGTAAGGGGCGGGTCCTCAGGCTTGGAGGCCATCCTGCTCGAAACAAGGCACTTTGTTAGCAACTTGACTCTGATGCACTCTGGAACTTCAATGTCTGAGGTGCGACACTAAGGTCTCCCAGTATCAATTGGATTCGAGCAGATTGGATGATATACGTGCCTGGTGGTCTCGCAGACTTGATTTAGCGATGCAGGGACGGGTACGCGATGGTCATGGGTGTGAGAAATCAGTGTAAGCAAACGAGTGACGATGACTTAGGAGAATATCTGATGGGGGATCGACTTGGTTAAGGACCTAGCAGGCCACTGAGATGGGACAGCTCAAACAACCTACATATGGCAGTCGCGAGGAAAGAGCGAAATTTGACGCTATTCTGAGACCAGTGACCATATCAAGCTCATATCGTACAACATTGATGTCACAGAAATGCCTTTAAATGTTCATATACAAAGAGAAACAAAAGAATTGCCCTGAGTCCCTCGACTCTCCTCCTCGACACCTTACAGCACCACACTGCTCATTCAAGGTCTTAACTTGTCTTGCCTCACGACTACTATGTTTACTGTGGTACAAAAATAATTCCAATGTTATTTGCTGACGACTCCATCTGTCACAGGTCAATATTGACTTTAACTCTACTGCTTGGCTGTTAACAAGAGGTTTCCTGCAGGGCAAAACTGTTGAGATTTTGTCAAAAAGCCAAAGCCGTTGGAGATCTGAGATAAGAAATGAAATAAAAAATAAATAAATAAAAAATTATATCGAGGAAGACAAGGTGATATGCTTGATATTTCCATTTTTGGCCTTCGCAATATTGACCGGGGGTTGCAGTCTTGTCGAAGATCGATAGGAGATTATGCACGCGAGAACCAATAAGAGGTATCGTCCTTTTGATTCTGTCCTTGTCACAACATGGGTATGGACATTTAAGATCTTCACAACCCCCAATCAGGCACACCCAGGAATCATCCCAATTTGAAACCACCTCACCATTTCGGTTGTCCTCTCCTATCTATTTGCAATGAACAGTCATGATCAAGTCCCAGAACAGTACGAAGAGATCACCACACGCGAAAATGAGGCCAGACCTATCCTCAAACGTACCCTCGCGGGCAAAGACAACGCCAAAACGCAGGCAGTCATTTCCGAGCTGGTTCACACAAGACGAGGTCTCAAACAACGTCATATTCAAATGATAGCCCTGGCTGGAACGATCGGTACTGGCCTCTTCCTTGCGACCGGAAAATCCCTAGCAAGGGGTGGACCACTAAGCATGTTGCTCGCATATTCCATTGTGGGCATGCTTATCTGCTGCGTGGTATTTTCCGTGGCTGAGCTCAGTGCTCTAGCGCCTCTTTCCGGTGGCATTATACGACACGCAGAATGGTTCGTTGACCCTGCGCTGGCGTTTGCTCAAGGTTGGAATAGTGTTTATGCAAATGCTATCCTACTGCCGGCTGAGATGGTGGCTTGTGCTGTCATTATCGACTTTTGGTCTGACGTTAACCATGCGGTATGGATTAGCGTCCTTGGCGCGCTGCTTGTTATTAGCAATATGCTATTGGTCAGCATCTACGGCGAGTTGGAGTTTGTCTTTGCAATGTTAAAGATTGTTCTCATTGTCGGTGTGAATATCATGGTGAGTAGGTCTCACTGCGCAAAGGATGCTCTGGTTGGTTTCTGACTGCTTTTCATATAGAGTATCTGCATCACCGCTGGGGCAGGCCCAAAGGGTTATCCCATGGGGTTTCGATTCTGGCGAGACCCTGGACCCTTTGTGCAATTTCTTGGTATCGATGGCTCATTGGGACGCTTCCTTGGGTTTTGGCGTATTCTGAGCAGTGCAGCTTATGCATTTTCTAACGTCGAGAACATATCAGTTGCAGCATCTGAAACGCAGAATCCTCGCCATAACATTCCCAAGGCCGCCAAACGTGTGTTCTGGAGAATCCTGATATTTTATCTGATCACCATTTTTATGATGGGCCTTATTGTCCCCTCCAATGACAAGGGGCTGATGTCAAATTCCGGGGATGCCGGAGCGTCTCCATTTGCAATCGCTGCCAATAATGTCGGGATCAAAACGGTACCTTCGATCATTAATGCCGTCGTTGTCACAAGTGCATGGAGCGCTGGTAACTCTGGTGAGTAGGGACTCTGTCGGCTACTCTACTTCTGCTAACCCGAAGACAGCAATGCTCGTTGGAACCAGAACTCTATATGGACTCGCTCAAGAGGGACATGCCCCGAAACTATTTACTCGCCTCAATCGCTTCGGTGTTCCCTGGATATCAGTTGCCGCAGTCGGATCTTTTCTTGCCTTGGGGTATATGACACTATCATCCGCAGCTTCCGTGGTATTTGATTGGCTCCAGCAACTGGTTTCAGCTGCCTCTTTGGTGCATTGGATCAATATAGAGGTAATCTATCTGAGGTTCTTTTATGGCTGTAAGAAGCAAAAGATCAGCCGTACTGAACTCCCTTGGAAGAGCCCCTTTCAACCTTATGCAGCATGGATTTCTCTGGTTTCGTTCAGTACAATTCTGCTTACTGGCGGATTCTACGTGTTTATCGAGGGCAATTGGAGTCCTCAAACCTTTATATCGTCATACTTCAACATCCCCCTTATATTTGTCTTATATTTTGGGTACAAGTTTTGGCGAAAGACCCGACTTGTTACGCTGGAAGAAATTCCAATCCAGGAATTTCTTCGCGTCGCTAATGAAAATCCGGAACCCGTTTCATCTCCAGCTACAGGGTGGCGGAGATTAAATATCCTGTGGGCTTGATTCTGGGGATTTGGAATGTGGCTATGGGAGAAAGAAAAGACATGTTTGAACCTGGGCCAAATGGACCGATTATCTTTCAAGTGTTCATTTAATCTGCCCAAATATGCACGCTTGCCCACCAGAGCAGGACTCGACACTTCTTCTTAGCCCTTCTCTCTGCTGACAGTAGAGCGCACATCAATATTACTCAATTCCAAATCGCCTTGCCACCTCTCGGAAGCCATCAGACTCAACCCACATATCCACCCAACCCTCAGTCTTGGCCGTCGCAGCCTGCTCTTTTGACATCTCTTCCTCCTGCTCACGATCCACATAGATAGTCTGAAACCCGCAGCTCTTCGCAGCCTTCAAATCGTGCAGATGCGCCGCAACCAGTGCGCACTGGCTTGGCTCCAATCCAAACTTTTTGGCAGCTCCATTATAAACCAGCGGAGAAGGTTTGTAAGCTCCGAAGTTCTCTGCGCTAACAAGATGCTTGAAAGGCAGTGACCCATGTCGCTGGAGATCCTGCAGCAAAGAGACATTCCCATTCGACAGGGTAGAAGTGTCGAACAGACGGTTCAATAACTCAAGACCCTGGGTACTATCTGGCCACGGGTTCAGCCGATGCCAGGCAAAAGCGAGTTCCCACAGCTTCTCGTCAGTGAACAGGCCGTCCAGACTGCGCTGCCGCAGGAGGTCCTGAAGGGCATTGTAGTGGTGCTGATCTACTGACACAAACTCGTTGGATGGATCAAATGTACTGGTAAAACCATTGTAAGTCTGGCGCCATTCTGCGACGAATGCTAGCCAGTCTTCCCAGGTCATGGCTGCAGCGCGGTCCCGCAAATCGGCTGGGAGGCCCTTGTGGGCATGGTTCACGGCATCTAGGGCGGCTGCGTTCAGCTCTTCCGCGACACATGTACGCCACGATACTACTGTGCCAAATGTATCGAAAAATAGCATCTGAGGCGGGTGGTCCGTCGACATTTTGCGTAGTTGGTGTTGGTGTAGTTGGGGATATGTTGATAGTTGATATGCAGCTATTCCCCGCACTTTCGAGGTTATGTCGGTTACCGAGCTCTTCCCAGTTGGGATATTAACAACGTTGAGATCCCAGCTAGATGTGTATGTAGGTCAGAGTGAAATCGAGTCTATCCACATGCTCTTGGAATGACCTCGGGCACGCAAATATGCTTAGTCAGTCCGGTTAGTCGCATCTCCAGATCTAACAGCCTGATTGTTCTGGCGGAAAGATATTGGATTAAGAAGGGATTCGTTTGTTTCTCTCGAGACAAGCACACAGTGTAATAAGTCCGAGTACTTTTCAAGGTTATGCTGAGTGCTGAGTCTTAAGGAATGTGCATGGGAGAACATTCTGCCTGTTCTTTTTCCGCCTTCCCTCAACTTTGTCTCTCTCAACTCAAGCAAATCACGGTCATTGCAATGTCAATTTGACGATCTTCATTGATTATTAGTGTCTTTCCCAGCATCCATACTTTGTACTCCGTACACGTTCGGCCCTCCCGTGTTGTTGGAGTGTCGCCCTGCGCCTCCAGGCTAGACTCACCACTAGCGCTGTCGGAGAAACAAAGAAACTGAGCAGGGATATATGAAATATCAGCGAATGTCGACCTGTCAGCGGCCCGCGTCCGAGTCAAAAGTACCTCGTGGTATCCCCTGAGACCAGTGGGGCAAATGGGTGGCAGTGGTTCGCGGATATTCCTGAGTTCTTCGTGTCAAGCCCCGTTAGTCCGATTTTCAATGGCAATTTGGGGGCTTGACAGGCATGACTCCGTACGGGGTTGTTGATACGATAATAAAGCATTCATTGCCAATCATTGGTTGTTGTACGGAGTACTCCGTACGCCTCCAACGTTCGCCAATTGCGCGACCTGCACTTGCATCGACATACAACATTATGCAAGAGAAACTCCAATCCAGACCGAGGCTACAACATATAGAGGCCATGGAGTACGTACGGTGTACTCCGTACCAGACTTCACACCATAACAATGGAAGTTTGGTTCTTCATTTCAGCTTGATGTGGGTTCCTCCTTCGAAGCTCCCAGTGGAGACCTTGGATGGGGCTGCTTTTTACCCCTGATCCGCAACAATGTCCGCACGCACTGGATGATTTGACTATTTAATGATTTGGTTGTCTCCTTGGGCAGAAGCGTCACAAAAAAATGCGTCAATCAAATACTATGCGACATGCAACATTCAATATGCAACATATGCACCCCCTAGGGACTCTGAAACCA